AAAAAAGAAAATATGGTATCATTATATTAAAACTTTTATTAACGTATGTTGAGTACTATGTGCATGGACTGTATGTACAAAAGTATTTAACAAGTGCGTCTGCATGAGGGACCTGAACTTCTAATGGGAAGACCATCTTAAAGACAACTTGACTATGGGACAATGGCTGCAAAGTCAAGTCAGTTAAGGACAGTGGGTGATCGAAGAAGGTGAGTGTGGCAGGTGATCATGTGAGTCACATGTTTATGGAGAAGGTGAACCTGGAACTTGGTCTTGAAGGAAGGCAAAAATTAGACAAATGAAAAGATGTGATAAAGGAAATGTGGGCTGGACACGGATAAGGGCCATTACCATGATGCAGGTTGTATACCACTCTAGGCAGGTGCCATTTCTGTTTCAGACATCAGAGTTTTGTATGTTTCTGAATATGGCATTCCAGCCAATAGCAGTTAAATGTCCCTTTTTATCAAAATCAGTTTATTGCATCAGTTTTCCACAGATGGAAGTGATGAGTCTTGAAAAATAGATGCCTTTTTCTAATTTGCGGAGAAGCATTGTATGGGTTAGCATTTGCCAAGTGTGTGGCTCACCATAGAGACATGGCGAGGAGCATTTGTATTGCCAAGTCCTTAATTCTAGTGCTTGCATTCAGGGTGGAAATGGGGCAACACAGGGAAGCAAAGTGTGTAAATACTTGATCGTTAATGACAGTGATAAAATAATAAAATCTTGTCTTTGAAAATAATATTAGGGTAGCATGTTTTGAATAAGAAAGGATTTAGTATGGATGATTCAGATTGGTCAAGACTGAATTTTCAAATGAATCTTTGGTACTCTTGAGTGTCCAGAATAGTCCCAAGTCCTCAAATGGGTATAACATTTCATACAACACATTTTTTTGTATGAAGAAGCAGACTTGCAGCATCCATCAACAAACAAGGGCCCTGGCTGCACTGGACAGACCAGGAAGGCTGGGTTATCAGCTGGAAGGAAGGCATCGACCAGTGTTATCAGTGTGAGTGTCTTTTTTAAAGCACAGAAAGCAGCCTGAATGAAAGCTGGCAGATTGGAGAGTTTCCAGTCTTGGGGGGTGTGTGTGAGAGGGAGTATGTATGAGTCAAACAATCCCTAGAGCCCAGAAAATTGCTTATCTAGAATGAGTTTTCCCCAATAATTTGGAGTAGCAGAGATTTTACTGCAGTAGACAGCAATGATAACATAAATTATTTCTGTAGAATATAGATTATCCAAAGAAAAGCCAAATGACAGCTGATCATCATTTTGAAATCTCTCATTAGTACTGTGAGTATGTGACATAACCAAAATTTGTTTCTCATGATTCCTTGACACACAGATTAAAGAGACAGAGTAAAGGGGGATCAAAGAATCCATGGCCAAGAAGGGGCTCTAGGGTTTTACACACACAGACTCTCTCTCTCTCTCTCTCTCTCTCTCTCACACACATGCATGGTGCATAAGACAATATTTACTGTGGTTTTTTTTTTCTTTCTTTCTTTTAAGAGACAGTCTGATTCTGTCCCCCAGGCTGGAGTGCAATTGTGTGATCCTAGCTCACTGCAGCCTCAACCTCCTGGGCTTAAGGGACCCTCCTGCATCAGCCTCCAGAGTAGCTACAACTACAGGCACAAGCCACCATGCCTGGCTTTTTAAAATTTGTAGTAGAGACAGGGTCTCACTATGTTGCCTAAGCTGGTCTCAAACTCCTGGGCTCAAGTGATCCTCCTGGCTTGGCCTCCCAAAGTGCTGGGATTACAGGTATGAGCCACTGTACCCAGCCAATCATGTACAATGTACTATGACATATTCTGTTCAATTGTGTTTTCATTTTTTTTTTTTTTTTCAAAATACTAGCTGGAATCCACTGTGGGCCAGAATTAATTTCGGGGACCACATATGGGTCAAACCTCTCAGTCGGAGACACTGTGCCCTAGGATTAGCTCTTGGGGACTGGCTACCTACCCTGCACATCATCCATTGGCCTAGGGTGGGAACAAGTACCCCCAGCAGATCCCGGTCACCTTCTGTCACAACATCTTTCCATTTGTATTCTCAGTCCGGCCTCTTTTGTTAACTTTTTTCCTTAATTTCTCCCCATTCTTTTTCCAACTTATCAGTAACTCTAGCAGAATTACGTAGACGGCAGACACTGTGGTCTCCTGAGCTGGTCCTCCCGATCCCTCTTGCAGCCCTGTAGTTGCAGGCTGCAGACAGACGGGGCAGCAGTGAGCACGTGTCTGGTCCATCTCACAGATGCAGCCTTGTTGGAATCAGCAAGAACCACCACTCCCAGGACTTCAGCCTCAACATGAGCTAACAGACATTAAAAACTCTCAGGTTCGATTGTCTTCACTTGACTGGGTAAGGCTGTCCTCATGTCTTACTTTTCCATGTGTACCTGTTAAATTTTTCCATCGTGTCTCAAAGTGAAGGCTTTATAAAAGAAAAAGGCAGAATGTTCTTTGTGGTGTATTAATTGGGCAGATTTTGTTTCCGTTTCTTACGTTTTCTTGTTGCTGGCTCATTAGCATGGAGAAGACAGACACACCCAGAGTTCTGAGAAGTAGTGTCTTGATTCATCACCAGCTCTTCTGTGCTTTTTCTAGTTATGGTTTTAGTTTTTGTTTTCTTTCTATTAAATACATTAATTGTAGTAAAATACACATAACACAAAAGTTACCATCCTAACCATTTTTAAGTGTATAGTTCAGAATTGCTAAGTATGTTTCCAACATGGTGTAACCAATCTCCAGAACCTTTAACATCTTGCAAAATGGAAACTTTATACACATTAAACAACAATTCCCCATTTCTTCCTTCCAGTGACCAGTCTAATATTTTGCTTTTCTTCCTATTTGACCTCTCTGTCTGGTGGCAAAAACTATGGATTTCTCAGATAACTCTAACACTCTCCTACTTACTAAACATTTGTACTTCTTGTTTACTAAATGGATATTTGTTTGGGAGCGTCTTCCCTCTCACTATCGTGCTGACATGATGCATGTTTGGTTTCATGTGTCATGTTCCCAGTATCACTTTGGTATTTCGGAGAGCCAGGGAAGGACATCCAGAGGTCATGCACAGATTTCCCCTGCCAGAGGCACAAATAGAAACAAACTCTTCTATGATTAGAACAACAACAAAAATTGCCTCAATATTTCACTTTTAAATGGGCCAACTGACAAACACAGTCTTTTTACTGAGCACTAAATTTTAATTACAGACATTCATAGAGTATGGGAAACAGCTGTGTCCAGGGATCATCTTGGTGAACCTGTGAGATTTGGTTTGGGAGTAAGTCCCATGACAAGAACAGGTGCAGCGGTGCTCTCCTCTCACCCTGTAGAGGTATGGGGAGGATTTCAGACTTTAAAGACTCTGATTACATGCTTTTAACAATTTACCCACTGATCTTTCCCCTCGGGTAGTATTTTGTGTCCACATCAGATATTGCTGACTTCCCACATCTGCTACTGTCTTCATCCTTATTGATCCAATGAACAGTCTATTTGTAGTGACAATTGTATCCCATTGATCGTCTCTGACATTTATTCTGTTGCCTTGGCTTGTATAATTGAAAGCCAGACATCGCTTCCCTAAGTGAGAAGCCTGCCCTCAGTTGGCCAGCAGATGTCGTGACTGAAAAGTGACTTCTCTAGGAAAATAACACAATCTGTCCTTGATAATTCTCTTGCCCAGACCTTAGAAATGGGGCCTTCGCCTTGGCCTCCTGCTACTCCCACCCCTTTAAAGACAGCGTAAAACCAAAGGAAGTGTTGGAGTGTTATGCAGAAGAATCTGTGATAGAGTTTGTTTTCAAAGTTTAAAAGTTTTAAAAATATAATGTTGATACTTTTTAATGAGGAGTTTGTTTAAACATGATTACATGTAGGGATTCAGGACCTCTATTTTCTTCTTGAGGCTTAAGTAATTACTGGAATTTCAAAGGTAACTTGGAGACAAAAAAGAAAGACAAAGGAGGGTTCTTGCAATTAGTGAGGCTGCCTGCCTGCACTGTGGAACACTGCGTGCAATGGAGAAGAAGGCGGGGTCAGCTTAGCTTAGGGCCACACTTCTTCAGCTCTGGAAGTTCTCTATGCTCATGAACTACAGCAGAATAGCATCTTGAGATCATCTTTTCCAGTGTTTCTTCAACTTTTTTGCAACTTAAGACTCC